TTAAGTTGAATAAAAGTGAGATTTAATGCTTTAATAAAAGTGAATGTTCCCAAATTGAAAATACGCTTAAGTACAGTAACAAAGTAAAATACTGTCCACCACTGGTCATGATAAATGCCAGGGCATAATAATAATAATAATAATAATAATAAACTAAATAAATACATATTTTTTGGTTGAGTCTCAAAAGCCACAGATCGATCTTTTTCTGTATTTATTCTTCACTACCAGTCTTCTCTTCTAGATGTCACTGTCTTATTTTTATTTGTTCTTATTTACAATACATCAGTTTTAATTATGTAATATATGTCTGAATAAATCTCAAAATGATAAAAGCAAGTTTTTCACTATTTGACTGATTATATTTTGACAGCGTAAACTGAAAGCCAAGACATCTCTTTTGATGGAGCAGGTCACATTTCTGTTAGAGTGATTATACTGTCAGAAAGACAGAGCTTCTGTTCACACAGGCAGTTTAGTTTATACATGTGGCTTTATTAAAAACACCACTAACTGTGCAATGCTGAGTGTCAGTGATCTCCTGTGTATTGGTCAATCTGGTGTTACACAAACAGAATATTGCAACTGTTCCGTTCGCTCTCCGTGGCAAGCCGTTTTAACATTTAATCCTTAAAACATACTCGTATCTAGTTTAATGCTACTAGTACTTATTTTGTTAGCTACTAGTATATATTCCAGTAAGTACTAGTACTTACTCATTAGCTAATAGTACGTATTCTTCAGATACTTGCACTTTTTACTTTAGGTACTAGTAACTTTCTAAAGATACTAGTATTTATTCATTAGATACCATCTTTGATACTAGTAATTATTTCAGTAGTGACTTGTAAGTATTCTACTGTTACTAGTAACATATTTCACATTTTTACCTCTGACTTCTATGGATTTGGAATAAGTACTAGTATCTAATAAATGTGTACTAGTATCTATTGAATGTGTGCTAGTATCTATTGAATGTGTGCTAGTATCTAATAAGTGTGAACTAGTATCTGCTGAATGTGTACTAGTATCTATTGAATGTGTACTAGCATCTAATAAATGTGTACTAGTATCTTTTGAATGTGTACTAGTATCTAATAAATGTGTACTAGTATATTTTGAATGTGTACTAGTATCTAATAAATGTGTACTAGTATCTACTGAATGTGTACTAGTATCTAATAAATGTGTACTAGTATCTACTGAATGTGTACTAGTATCTAATAAGTGTGTACTAGTATCTAATAAATGTGTACCAGTATATTTAATGTGTACTAGTACCTAATAAATGTGTATCTATTGAATAAGTACTAGTATCAAATAATATGTTCTAGTATCTAGTAAATAATTACTAGTATGTAATAAACAAATACTAGTATCTATTGAATGTGTACTAGTATCTAATAAATGTGTACTAGTATCTATTGAATGTGTGCTAGTACCTAATAAATGTGTATCTATTGAATAAGTACTAGTATCAAATAATGTGTTCTAGTATCTACTGAATGTGTACTAGATTCTAGTAAATAATTACTAGCATGTAATAAACATACTAGTATCTATTGGATGTGTACTAACATTTAATAAATGTGTTCTAGTATCTATTGAATGTGTACTAGTATCTAATAAGTGTGTACTAGTATCTAATGAATGTGAACTACTATCTAATAAATGTGTACTAGTATCCATTGAATGTGTACTAGTATCTAATGAATGTGAACTACTATCTAATAAATGTGTACTAGTATCCATTGAATGTGTACTAGTATCTAATGAATGTGAACTACTATCTAATAAATGTGTACTAGTATCCATTGAATGTGTACTAGTATCTAATGAATGTGAACTACTATCTAATAAATGTGTACTAGTATCCATTGAATGTGTACTAGTATCTAATGAATGTGAACTACTATCTAATAAATGTGTACTAGTATCTACTGAATGTGTACTAGTACCTAATAAATGTTTATCTATTGAATAAGTACTATCAAATAATATGTTCTAGAACAGGGTTAGGCAAGTTCGGTCCTAGAGAGCCGCAGTCCTGCAGAGTTCAGCTCCAACCCTGAAAAAAAACTGCCTGTAGCCTTAGTAATCCTGAAGACACTGATTAGCTTGTTCAGGTGTGTTTGATTAGGGTTGGAGCTGAACTCTGCAGGACTGCGGCTCTCTAGGACCGAACTTGCCTACCCCTGTTCTAGTATCTAGTAAATAAATACTAGTATGTAATAAACAAATACTAGTATCTATTTAATAGGTATGAGTATCTAATAATATGTACTAGAGTAAAATGATTATATATTATATAATGACTAGTATCTAATAATGGGTATTAGCATCTAGAAATATGTATTAGTCACTATTGGAAGTCCATGGCAAAAATCGACACGTGTAACTAGTAACATCAGAATTGTTACCAGTCACTATTGAAATAAGTACTAGTATTTAATGAATAAGCACAAGTAGCTAGTAGCTACATAATAGTAGCTAAAAATAAGTATTAGTAGCATGAAAATATATACTAATAAATGTTTTATAGATTAAATGTTAAAACAGCTTGCCATAGACTCTGACAGTCGTGTTTCAGTGAGATGTGACGTCTGTTACCTTGGGAAATTGATGTTGATGTAATTCCGTGGAACGAACCCTTCCATGCCGTTTACTTCTGCTTTGAACCAGTCGTCATTGGTGCCTAAAATCTACAGAGGAGCATGTGATGATTAAACTCATGGAAAGAGCTCCTGAGGAACGGACAAAACTCTGGTTTGAAGTATCTGAAAGTATCGGTGGACATGTGATGCATACAGTACGTGCAGTGAGCTGCAGATGTAAATGTTGAACACACCTTGATTATATCTCCCTTCCTGAAGCTCAGCTCGTCCGCCGCTGTGCCGGCGAAGTCATATTTCCCCGTCGCCTCCATGATGGAGACAACTCAGAGACTAGAAGGAAAAACACTGAATTGAAAACTGCAACTTTACAGAGTCAAACACATCAAACCACATGCCAGTCAAACACCGCTGACATTCACATGGTAACCAGCCGAACACTCACACTAAAGCACAACCACATGAAAGAGACACATCACCCAAACATGTCCTTTCTGTCGTTTACTGACCCTCAAGCCACTCCAAACCTGCATGACTCTTTGTCTTTTGGTTTGGACAACATGCATGTTTGGTGAATGTTGACTGAATGAACTTTGCCATTCAGTCTTTCTTCTTTCGGTCAATCATGTTATGCTCCGGCCTGAACTCACACAGACATTCAGTTTCAAGCGTGTTTGGCCACGACTAACTCAACATTTTCAGCTATATGTTCACTGAGACGCCAGACATCACAACACAGCCTCTGATCGAAAACTCACACAAACGATGACCTATAAAGAACTCAAATGACATCCAGCTAACAGGAAACATTCTCAGTTAGGAACAAACGTAACATTAATAGAACATTTGTTCAAAGTTCTCTGCGCTTTAATTACATTATCAAAACGTTAGCACAAAAAAATTTTTATTCATCGTTCATGTTTTTTTTTTAGTTTTAGGCTGTAATGTTTTTAATGTTACTTCTTGCTTCAGATGGCTCTGAGAACAAAAGTAACGTTCCCATAACATTCTTTTAATGTCCTCTCTAATATTGAAACAATCAAGAAAAAATGTTTTTAAAACATTTAAAAAACTGGACGTTTTGAATGTTCTGAGGACGTTCAGAAATAAAGTACATAATGGGAATGTTTGCAAAATGTTCTTAGAGCATAATTCTGTCAGCTGGGAAGTGTCGTTTCTTAAAAATAAAGGTTTTGGCTGAACAAAAAATTTGCACAATGGTTTGCATCAATCTTTTTGAGTTATAACATCTACTAATGAAATAATGTTTAACCAACAAACTACTTTGACTTTGAGGAACTTAATAAATAGCATAAACACACATAAACACTGTGATGGCCTTAGAACCAATTCAAGCATTTCAGGTTAAATTAGCAGACAGCAAAGCTGTTAATTAAAGCATGTTAATTAATGAATCAGTCTTTGGCATTAGTGCCGTCGTTGTTGCACTGCGTCTGAACGTCTGACTTTGCAGCGTTTGCAAACAAAACTGATTTCAGACAGACTTCTGAGGCTGAGCTTAGGTGATAACAAAGCGAATATTAATTACTACAATACAAATTTCTCATTGGAAATGACTTCAAAAGTGAGAAAAGTTGGTCAGAAATGTACATTTACACACAAACTGACCGTCAACCGCAGCTTTCAGACGCTATCTTAATTTATTTAGCTGAACTAGACAATCAAAAACAAAAGATTGTGGGATGCCGCCTTCAGAAATCATGAAGTGACACGATCACTGGATTCGTCCTCCCTCCGTGTGCTGTCTGCAGAGGCAGTATTTTCAGCTTGTGGACGCAGCCGTAGAGTCATTGTAGACCTTCATGTATCCACCCACAATCTAACCATGAGCTCTTCTCTTCAGCACAACGCCAACCACAGAAAAACTTCAGCACAACAGAAACTGTCTTCAAATGTCAAACACACTAACAGCTCCGTCCCTTCACTTTAAATCACACTTACTGTCAGCATTTACTCTCTTTGTCAAATCCTGCAAATGCATGCTGGGAACTAAAAATCCACTGCCCAGTTTTCAAAGTCATCAAGACAATTTCAAGTTACTACCACTTAATAAAAAAGCACAGAAATTTGAGTTTAAACTGCACAATACTTGTACTTTTTCAAAACTCTATGTGAGCTAAAGTGTGGATAATTTACGATTGCTTTGGCACAAATCTCAAATTACATCGATTCTTTTCTTACTCCACCAAACGCTATACCTACAGGCCAATTTGCACATGTTTACATGCTCTTTTAAGTTCAAAACCTAAAATAATACAACACTGAATGAGACAGAACCCTGCTACATTTCTACAGTAACACCATAGCGAAATATATTCTGAATCTAAACCATCAAACTCTATCAAAACAGAATTAGCTGAACAGTGTTAGTCTTTCAATTACATTGCCATCTACACAAAAGGAAACTAATTAGAAATAATTTTGTACTGTAATGTAACCATGGAGCATGTAACAATTTCTAAACAGTAGAAAGCTGTCATTCTTGTTTTGTAAAGACATTTTATGGAATTGTGTAATGCTGTTTGTGTTTTTTAGGTCATTGTTTTACGAGTGACTTGTTGAGTGAAAACCTTTGGTGTTATAAAAGAATGAGTTAATTTGAATCATGTATGAAGTGTTTTGGTAGCTTTAGTGAATTTTGAATGTGAAATTAACTGCTGTGCCATGTTGAAAGTTGGTTAAGAGAGCTGTGTGAAGAGTTTCGAAAAGTGACCTACATATTGAGAAATATGTAAAAAAAAAAAATAGAATTTGACTTGCAGCAATGTATTTATTTAAGTTATTTAACAGGTCCCCCTGAATGATGAAATTATGACTAAACAGGTTGCTTTTCAACTATTTAACAGGTTTTTACTGTAGCATTTTTACAGTCTTTTACCGTTAAATTCACGGTAATTTTTTACAGTGTACAGTAGTTTGTGTAAATGACTTTAATAATCTCTTCTGTTTGAGAACAATTTTAGAAAAGCATAATATCTCAGGACTTTTTACAATGTTGACAACATCATGGCTGAGAAACCATAGAGGATTAAAGTATGAATGCTGCATCGATTAAAAGTCAGCCATCAAATCAAAACGTGTAAATGAATTTAAGAATTTAAAAGTAAAAAGTCAACTTTTTAGAAATGTTCTCATTGGAGTGACTTTGAACTTACTGATCGTCAGAAGATTTTATAGCTGTTTGATGCTGGAATATAATTGTGTATTGATCGCCAACCATGTTCATCTGCAATGACTGGTGATAAAAACAGCAGTTAAAACGACACGATGCATTAAGAGTAGGCTATTTCTGAACGGCAGTACTAAATGAAAAAAATATGATCAAAAATGAGAAGAATGTGCACATCGTCATTCTGTCCAGAATGCATCGTGTTTTCTTTCTGGAGTGACTTTGAACTTCTTGAATTTTTAATTTAAGGGAGCGGGTAAATGTTTTGAATCGGATCTTCGGGGTAAATTACTCACTTTGACTTCTGGGAAATGTAAGTATTTTACGTAGCTTCTGAACACAGTACTACATGAAAAAAAATCTAAACAAAATAAGAAGCATATAGGTTGTACACATCACATCATCATTCAGTTCATAAGTTTTCAACCCTCGGCTCTCAATGCATTGTATTTCCTTCTGGAGCATCAGTAAATGTTTTCATCTTCTGTAATAGTTGTGTTTGAGTCTCTCATTGTCCTCTGTGTGAAAAGATGGATCTCATAATCATACGCTCACTGTTGGAAAGGGGTCAAATACGCAGAAGATGCTGGAAAACCAGAGAAAGTGCAGGAGATGAACATCAGGCAGATGAACTGCTCATGAACAGACATCACAAAACATAGTCGTGGATCATCCAGGTAATGACAGGAAAGGGTGTGTAAACTTTTGAACAGATTTGATAAATTGAGTTATTTTGTCTTGTGGAGGAAACGCAAACCTCTGTTATGAATAACAAACAGCATGCAATTTTCATGATGCCACTTATTTTGTTAACATGATGCACATTTAGTATATTCTGCAGGGGTTTGTGATCTTCTGAGCAGAGCTGTATGAAGCAGAATTTCCCCAGAATGCGGTGACGTGTTCGTCCGAGGTTTGTACTGTAAGCAGCTCGTGTTCTGCTCACCTGCTTCCGTGCGTTTCTGCAGCGCTGCAGCTGCACCGATGCAAAGACTTTCATCTCATTTGTGTATCATTTTTGCTCACGGATCACAGGCTCAGTGTGAACCACTGACGTGCCTGACATTAAATAGCGGGGCTAGTTGTCACCCTTCACTTTATATTGTTCAGTGGGGTTATTTAATGAAATTTAACAAATTGGTATTCCTTTAGGTTTATTTTATTCTATTAGAATGTGTTAAAATTACAGCATATAAGACATGTGACAACTTGCCCCTAACCTGATTACAAATACTCTTGTTCTGACAGCACAGTTCAATCTTTAAGTCCGAGTCTACCTTCTGACTCTTGTCTGATGTCAGTGTGCTTTTGTTGTGTCAAAATATTGGGAATTAAAATAACAAAACAAGCATTTGTGTAAGTTTGACTCATAGTTACTGAGATACTGTGATTCTAGCCTTGGTTTCCCCTTTAATATACTGTACATGTGTGAGTTTGTCATCAACAAAAACACTTTTAACGGACGGATATCTCTTCATGAGTCTCTGGTGTTTATTCCTCCTTTTTAATGCTAAAAGTTCAGAAAGAGATGCTGAAGGATCGTGTGAATCTAGAAAGATCATTGTACTTACAGCTCATGAAATGATGATCTGTCTGTCTGTCGTCTGAGCCTCACGATGTCAGCTTCACCTGCAGCTCCGCACTCAGATATTATTTCATAACATCTGGAGGAAGAACAGAAGTCAAGCTTATCTCGCATTCAACATGACGCGCGCATGCATGACGGCAAAAAGGGGAAATAGAAAGTGTAAATCATCTTCCCCTCCCTCTGTGAACACACACACACTCACACTCTCTCTCACACACTCACTCACAAATTCATTCATTCTGTGTGATTTATTAGCTTTTTTACCCGTGGGGACCTCAATTTAGGTCCCCACCGTGACACAAGTCCCCATGAGTCTGTGTGTATTCAGGTTTAAGTCCCCACCAGAATAGAAAAACAGGTACACACACACACACACACACACACACTTATTTCACTATATTAGTGACTTCATTTGTTTTCCTATCAGGTTAATGATATTTTCTATAGCTGAACTCTAGACCTAAACAAACCTTCACTTGGGCAAAACAGTACCTTTAAATAAAAACATGGTTTAATCGATTTATAAGACCTTTTGAACTAGTAAGCACCAGTAAACACTTTCTCACTAGTAGGCTATCATGATATTTCACTAAGTAAGTGAGGACATTTGGCCATCACAAGTATAGTTAAACAAGTACACACTCACACTTCCTGTCTGTGCGAACACAGTTTAGTCTGACAGAGATAAGCATGTTGAGTCTATTTCTACTTCTGTTATTTTGGTTGACTTGAATTATTTTGCACTGTTTTAATTTTTTAGTGATTTCACCCATTCACCAGAATCACCATACATCCATATAGACACCAGTTTTTTTTGTTTTTTTTTGTAATGCGTTACCCCCAACACTGCTGTTCACACATTGAGCACCAAAACAGCTTCTTTCATTGTTTTTTTCCCCAGTTGGAAGATGGAACCATGGACGAATTAAATGATTAATTCACCCAAAAATGTAAATTCTGTCATTTCTCTGATAGCACACGTACATCTGCGAGATGTCTGTTAAAGATCACTTCATCTGGAAAGCATCTGCTGTGTACAAACATCTGACAGACGTCTCTAAGATGTCAGTTTTACATTCATTCTAAATCATGAACATCTTAAAGACATCTTCTAAACGTCTATTTGACATCTGATAGGAAACGTCAGCAATGCAACTTACACATTGTCTTTCCTACCGTTCTGGACCTTGAATGTGTAAGTTGCATGGCTGACTGTAGAGGGTCAGAAAGCTCTCAGATTTCATCAGAAATATCTTTATTTATGTTCCAAGATGAACGAAGGTGTTACAGGAGTGGAGCGACACGAGGGTAATTAACAACATTGTCATTTTTGGGTGAACTATCCCTTTAAGAGGATCACAGGATGTCATATGATTCTCTTGCATCAGCCAAAAACTGTGATATAGTCGGCAGAACTGTTAACACAGGTGAAGAAAGATATTGTATTATCTTAAGTATTTTAAGTATTTCAAATACAAAATACTGTCTCTTAAAGTATTTAATTACAAACTACATTATTTTTTTTTGTCCATCAAAATACAAATGACAAAAAACGCGAAAGTAATTAAATACATTTAATTCAAATACCCTAACCCTAACCCTAACCCTAACACATAGAAACACACACACACACACAGAAACACATAGAAACAAACACACACACAAACCACAAGACCACAGCGAGAAACAGGGCATTCTTAAAAATAAAGGTTCTTTAATGGCATTGATGGTTTCATGAACTCTTAACATTCAACGTTCTTTGGGAACCAGAATGATTCTTCTGTGGTATTGCTGTTGGAATCGTTTATTTTCAAGAGTGTGAGTGAAACTTTGCATGCTCATATCATTCATATGACGTGTGTGTGTTTAAAGTGTTCTGGTTTACTGCTTATCTTCTCTGTGACTGACACGTGTCTCAGCTGACATATGAATCCTGTCAACACTCTTACAATCTTATGTTGTATGTCAGTCATGACTATCGGCATGGAAACAAAAGCTGCTTTCTGATTGGCTGTATCTGTCATCTGTGACTCTGGACTCATCTGGTTAAACTGGCTCTGAAAGCATCTGATGCTACTGTGCTTCAGAGTCTGTATTCGTTCATCAGTCATGAAGCAGGAGGACATCTGCAGTGTGTGTCCAGTATGAGATGATTTATGAACGACCCGCCTCACACCCCAAACTTTTGCTTTAAAACTGTCTATTTTTAATTTAATTCATTTCTGCTGAGATACAGTACTGAAATGATTTAGATACAAATGAAAACATCAATGCAGTGTGAAGATCAGCTTCATTTCTCATTCATTTAGAATCTTTATCAGTGAGTTATTGAATGACTAAACATTCAATGAATGAATGAATGAATAAATAAATATTAATCAGTAAACATCTGTACATACACTTTTTTTATTAAAATTTTGACTCATTAGTAATGTTTCATTTGTCTTTTTCCCTGTTGTTAATCTGCAATTCTAATATGGTGATATTTACATTTTCATTTAAATTAATTATTTACTTTTAGTTATTGCATTTTTAAAAAACAGACTAATGCAAGGAACATTTTGTCAAAACCTCTAATAAATTACATTAAAAACAACATTATTTTGTTCAGGTTTTGTAATCAACATTTTTCTTCAGAATCGTGGGATAATTGTAATCTCTACTCAGCTAACAAAAATATGTTCTAAGAACATTTTCTATTAAGAACATTCATCACAAACGAACAACATCATTTGTGTTATGATATTATATTAATCTCTCTAAGGAACTGACAGGAGACCAATGTGCACCATGCATGCAATCATCCTGTCACTGCAATTTCCATGAACATTGTTGCAATGCTTTCTGCTAACATTCCAAAAACATTCAGCAAAAATAATAACATCATAACAACATTATTCTAAGAATGTTCTCTCAATATTATGAGAACTTATATCAAGTAACAATAACGTTCCATAAACATTTTTTAAGAATATATTTACATTTGCAACCTTTGAAGTGAGTGAAAGTTATGTGAACGTGTTAGCTGGGTAGTTTAAAAAGTTTGTTTTGGAGGCCAAACCATCCAAATGAACTGCCGGATGTGGATTATATTTTCATGTTGATTTGGTTTATTTGAGAACACAAACCCGTGAAGGAGAGGAGCACCAACCCATCCACAGGTCAGGTGACCATCAGCGCTGCTTTAGTCCTCGACTCTGTCTGTCTACATTCACAACACAGACAGACATGCAGGGGATTTTTACTCGTGCTCTTAACCATTCAGGCGTGGTTGATTCCTGTGTTGAGCTCTTGAGTGTGAATCCTGATATCAGCGTGTTTGAGAGGTTCTAGGTGTGCAGATGGAGCTCTGAAAGCATGCTTGTCTTGAGATGTTTACAGTCACCTGAAGCTGGGATGAGAGAGAATCGGTGTGAAACGATACTGTGTCGCATGAGAGCGCGAGAGGAGCAGTTCCAGGCACCTGCTCGAAATTTTGACAAATCAGACGTATGCAACCAATCAACAAGCTGTTCATTAACTAAACACAGTAATATTGGGGACAATATTCTTTGTTATAAAATATGTGATTGCACCTTGCTTAAAAACATGGCAACTTAAGTTAAAAAACGTAAACAAAATTAGGAAGAAGGCATAATTACACCGTTAAACCCTTTACATGTGTGTCTGTGATGTGCGGCGTTAGAGGGCGCCAGAGGAACATCTGACACTTCCGGTCAAACTCACGTGACTCATCAACGCTAGAAGAAAGGACAAACATTCTAGAATTCTAAAACACAATTTAGAATCCTCAGTTCAGTTCAAAAGAGCTTTATTGGCATGTAAAGTAGGTATTGCCAAAGCACTCTCTCTCTGTGTGCACGTATGTGTTTGTGAGCATCACTGACTGCAGTCTTTTCTTTCATCTCATAAATACTGAAGTTGTGTGTTCTTGTCCAACTTTCTGAAGTCAGATGCTTTGAGATGTGTATTGTTTTTCTCCGTTTCCTCGCAGTGAGTGCAGATGGTGAGGAAGGAAGTGTTGCTCGTTTGTCATGATTCAATTCAGATCTCACTCTTCACTGCCAGTATAAAAGCTTCTGTTACTGACTGCAATATTTTGAGATTGTAATTGGCATTTCAGACTGGATAATGTTTTGTTAGCTCAGAAGGCCCTTCCAGTTTTCTCTTTCAGTTCCAATGCACTTATTTTTAATCTGAGATTGATGTAGTTTGTGGCATGACCAAATACAGGCTCTCTCGCTACTGAGATCAGAATCAGACTTGACTGACCGTCAGAATGCAGTGTGAAGTTTAATTATGTGTAAGTAGTGTTCGGTTCATCCTGGAGAACGGCTAACACAGATGTGAAGAAGGTGAGACATGATGATAGAGAATGAAAAACAACGGTTTCAAAGGAAGGTTCCAAAAAAAAGAAAAAAGGACGAGTGTAAGCGGTGGTTTGTTGTGAGAAGAAGAGAAAGTGAATGTGCCTCAAATTTTACATCACAAAGCAATACTATGGCGGATAATGGACTAATTTATTGCAAGGCTTTATGTGCTACTAGTTTATTTAGTTTTTATAACTTTGCATTGGTAATTGACTAATTTAATTTCTAAAAGTCAATTCTAAATCTTGCTCGGATTAAAGTAGTAATATAGAGTAGTTACTCGAAGAGTGGGGTTTAAATCCACGTTTTCGGAGCAGCAACATTTGCCATTCCCAGATAAAGTCAGTGATAAACAACATTCATGACCCATTTTACTTGCACAATCTGATGCATTTCTGAGTGAAACCAGATTCAAGGAAAATAGTAGGACAGGACTTTATCTGTCAGTCAATATGAATATGACGGCTGGATGTGTGTAATTATAGTAGATCTTGAGCCCATCGGAGTGTTTGGTGAGACGAGTCCTGATGTGCAGACGCAAGCATACAGCGGCAGACGCCTACAGACACACACATACATACATACACAGACACTTGCAGACACACGCATGCAGACACAAGCATACATACACAGACACTTGCAGACACACGCATACAGAAGCAGACACCTGCAGACATGCACATACAGACGCACGCATACAGAAGCAGACACCTGCAGACATGCACATACAGACGCACGCA